CTCTCTCTCTCTCTCTCTCTCTCTCTCTCTCTCTCTTCTTCTTCGATGCGGACAGTCCGTCGTCACGCACCAACCCACGAAGTCGTCACCCCGCTTAGTCCTCCCACACCCGTCGGATTCGCCCGTGCCCACAGTCCGTCGTGGCCCACGTCAATCCCGCTCGTTCGGGACCAGCCCATCGGGTCGCCCAACTCCTACTCTACTCACCTATTACTTCGCTCGTGTGCCGACCCTTCCTGATCCCGCAACCCCGAGCTTCCAACAACGGATTAAGAGAGGTGACTAATCGCGCAGCCGAAATTTATAGTGTGCATGCATGGGCGAAGAACACGGAGTTACCAAAACTTAGAGTGAAGATTAGAGAGGGAACGCCTGCGCCCTGCATGATCGGCCGCGACGTGGGGGACGTAACCCTTCTCCACGCATCGATCCGAGCACGCAAGCCGCGACTTACAAAATTTCAGCAAAAGAAAGAGAGGGAGGGCGGGAGAGACGAAGTGCAAGAAGAGAGATACAGTTACAATGGCGTCCGCCCAAAATTACAGTTACACACGCGATTAAGRGCGCCTGCTAATYAGAGTTCCGTTGCAGCCGCATGAAGAARCGCGTAAACAAAAGGCGCCGYGCGGCAGGGAAAATCCTAATTACTAAATTCCTAAATTCCTATCTAATGCGAGAAAGCAAAAAGAAGCATGAATTCGGAAGGAAAGTCCGAAATTCCGAGAGCMATTGGGGGCTCAACAAAATTCGAAAAAGATTCAAGAGGAATTTCAAAAAAGAACGAAGCAATTTCTCGTGCGATGTCCACGCCCAAAAGATCGAAAACCGAACCAAAAGAAACGACGTCGATATTAGTCGCGCGCGCGTGTGGCGTCGCGCCAAACAACCATCCGACCAATCAATCCACCGGCCGTCCCAGGACACGCCGAGCCCCGAAGAAGCGACGAAAAAGACAAAGAAGCAAGGGTACTGATGCAATTTTCCACCGATCCCGATTTCCCGCAATTGGACCAATCTTCCCAACTTAGGACCCCTCGTTGCAACCGCACAGAAACTCGCGCGTTACAGAAAGTGGTTCGTCACATATGTGACGCCCAGGGGGTTTCAATATTAGCAAGCTCCTGCTTGCTTGTTGACACGTGTCGATTTCTCTAATCGATCGACACACGGAGCACTTCTCTTTATGCCACTTACCGTTCGATTGTGTGCGGACGTCATCCAACATGGCAACTTTGCTCTTCTACTACTTCCTCAGATTGGGCTCTCGACAGTCCAAGGACGGGATTTTTCTCGTGCCGTTACCGCGACACGTATCCATTACCGGTTGCATCAGTAATTAACTGGAAGGGGAAAAGGGAGTCGGTGCATGGCGGCATGGCGGGGTGGAGGGCTTAGGGGTAGAGGGGGCAAGAACCTTTCCATCCCGGCTGCAGATTCTGGAAGCGCTTGGTAGCGGACGATGCAGTGGAAGTGGGGGAAATGGTTGCCAGTGCGAGGGAGGGACGCAAGGTAATCAGGATAGAGGGTGGTGAGAGTTCGGAAAAGTGTCGCGCGAAAACGATCGTGATCTTCGCAAGCGGGGATGGTCCCCGTTACTATGCAATAAACCTCGATCATAATGTGGCCTCGCCACGTGGCACTGAGGAGCAAAACATGGAGGCAGAAGGTTGGGATGGCGCACTGAATGGAGGGGTGGGGGTGCACTACTATAGCGAGGCGAGCAGCATAGAAGTGGCGGAAGGTATCGCGGAGAAACGGGTTGGAGGGGAACGTGATGGGGATGGTGAGCTGGTGGAGGGTGAGGTAGTCAAGAGGACGGCGAGAGAGTAATCAGGGACGAAGACCGATCGCCCATATCGGTACGTCGGCGAACTGGGGGACGAGTTGGGGAGGAGGGGGATCGGCTCCGTCGCCGCGTTGATAGGGTCGGAGTCGTGGCCGTGAGGTCGCCATGTTCTGGTCGGGGCGGCTCCGGATCTTGGTTTGGGTCGTCGTGGACGTGTAAGCTTGCCCCGCTCACAAATTCTAGTTCCCTTTTCCCGGCCGCGGTTTCTTCTCTTTTGCGGGCCGCCTTCGGATCTTCAGCCTCCGTGCCCGTGCGCAGCGCTTCTTCCAGCGCAGCTTCCCACTCCGATTCCGTAGGTCCTTCTTCGTTCTCCTCTTTTCCTTCGTCGTCTTCTTCTTCTTCTTCGCTCTGCTCCCCCTCGTTGTGCTCGCTATAACTTCCTTCTTCGGGGGTTTCGTCCTCTTCCCCGAGTACTTCGTCACTTTCCCCACTTTCTTCCCGCTCGTGTTCTCCTTTGTCACTCTCAGTGCTTTCTTCCTCCTCCTCTTCCTCTCGAATGGCAACAAGCTGCTCTGCCGTTGGGTGCCTGAAGAAGGCAGGATCACAAACCGTCCGGGGATCCAAATACTGCTGCTGCGACGGCGGGATGCGCTCTGCGGCTCCTTCCACACAAGCCGACCACTGGAGATACGGCGTCAACGTGCGAGAAAGTACATGAGGAATCGGATGCTCATCGTCTTGCGAGATGATGTCGAGAGGGAGCTCGTCCGCCAGCTGCGCTACCGGGATCGCGAGCTCGTGCGCGATGAGTTCCTGATGTCCGGGCCGTACTGCGCCAAACAGAAATGCGAGGAGTTCTCCCTCCACGTTGGTTCGCCAAGCCTGGATGAACAGCAACTCCAGGTGCTCTATGCAAGGCGGGCGCGCCTCGTCCTCGGTCCACGTCAGCCGTACCTCGACTAAGCACAGTGAAAGCTCGACGAAGTCTTCGCGCCACAGTTGCCAGTGTGGGGGATGAATGTCGGGGACAACAAGGGTCGTTAGACAGTAGGAAAGGCGAGGATGGATATCAAACTGCCAGAAGGTGGGGAAGGTAGAGGGGAGATAAAAAACGGAGATCGGAGAGAGACTCATTGGGGGCGAGGGAAGGGAACAACAACAGGGAGAACCGTCGGCGGATCACGTTGGTACATCGGAAGGCCATCGTATTCGATCGCTCGTGTCGGCGCGACTGTGTCCCTGGGGCGAGCTAGAAGCTGGGTCCACTCAGCGACCAGATCGTTCGCCCACGCGCGTAGCGATGTCCTCACCGCCGTATGTCGTAAAGGGAGGAGTGTGGAGAGATCGCCACAGAAGTTGATGACGACCGATAGGCGGCTGACACCTGGCACCGCTCGCTGATGAACTGCTACTGCCTCGGCCAGTACCACTGCGTCGGGCCGGCCCTCGATTCTGAACACCGCCGCTGCATACACGCCTCCCGTGCAGAAAAAGTGCGCAAGCCGCCGGAGATCTGGACTAAGATGGGGATGATAGACTTGTCGGATCATCAATCGATCACGGGGTGCAAGCGATGCTTCGTTGAGGGCTCTTTCCTCCAGAAAACTCATGCGGATGGCGATGGAGACGGAGAGGCAGAGAGGGAGCAAGAGGAAGAGGGGGATGGCGGAGAGTTAGAGTCGTCATCTTCGGCTTCCTCAGAAGGAGAGATCGAGGGAGACGGAGCAGAGGGGAGGAGGCGAAGATAGGAAACACGGCGTGTGATCGGACGAGCCGATCGACTGCCGGAGACTTCCGGAGCGAGACGCACGATGTTTACGCCGTTGGGGCCGAGCTCGATCACGCGATATCGCCCGAACAATCATGGCGCTAGCTTCCCTTGGCGAGCACATTTTCTCCAGTGCACCACGTCCCCCAATTCATTCTGGGGCCGCGGACCCGCATTCCCTTTTCGGGCCTTGTAGCTCCGGATCTGTCGGCCTTGGGCTAGTTCGGTCGTTTTCTGTCGTTTTCAGCCCAGCTTGGGCAGTGACCGTTCCATTAGCTCTAGGTGCCGTTTGGCCTTGTCCCGAGCCGTGGCCCTGGTGGGTTGTCGGTTCAATGTAGACTCATCCGGGAGGCTTGGTATGGAAACGCAAGCGACATTATTGGTTCTTAATTGAAAGGGGCTTAGCCCCGTCGATTCGTGGGGCGTTCCGCGATGGACCGCCAGAATGTGATCGACGATATCGGGCCAGGGTCTCGGATCCCGTGCCGCGATGTTTCGTTGCAATGCTGTCTTTATCATCCGGTTAGCGTTTTCGACCAGCCCATTGGATTGTGACATGTGGGGTGCAGTGTTCCGTATGGCGACGCCATGCATAACCAGATTCTTTAACACTTCTCCTCTGAATTCAGCCCCATTGTCGGTCAGGATTTCTTCGGTAGCCTGATGCATCCCGAGGAAACGGTTGATGTATCGCGCGATTTCCGTGGCTTGCCGCGTGCGACAGGGATACGCTTTGATGCATTTCGAAAAATGGTCGACAAATACCAGTAGGACTGAATACTCACAACTATTAGGGCCAGGGGGCACCACTATGTCGGTAGTGTCCATGCTTACTCTCTGAAATGGTCGTTCAACAACCGTGGGCACTATCGATCTTGGTGGCTGAATCGACGCCTTATCAGCGGCGCAGACTTGGCAGTTGGCGACGATGTATTTCACATCGTCGCGGATATTGGACCAGTACCACTTATTTTTGTCAATAGCGGACTCCGTGATTCGTACGGCGAAATGAGCCGCAGTTTCTTCGTGCGACGTCTTAACCCAGTCGTACCTCATGAACGGATGTGGCACCACTATCCAAATTCCGCTGCCATCCATTTTCCGTTTTTCTAATCTACCCTCTATCCATCGATAATCCCGAGCCCTCTCGTTGGCCCTCCTCCGATCTTCCTTGGTGAAATCCTGGAGGGGGTTACCTACTAGGGTGGCGATTAAGGCAATGTCCGTCCATACTTCGACCCTTCTAAACTTCCGGATTTTTTCCAATCCTTCTGACGTGGCATCCAAAAAGCGAGCCTCGGTCGGAATCTTATCGGTCCGGCACAAGGGGCACAGCCACGGTTTACTATTGTTTCTGTATTGGATGCACGAGCCATGGGTTTGTGCGACACAATGTCGGCAATCGATCCAATCGACATACCCCTCCCCGTTAGGACACATGGAAACCGAATAGACGCGGGAGATGGCTTCACAAAAATAGCAAAATTTGTCAGGCAGGGAGAGGAGAGACGAAGAGAAAGGAGGAGAGAGGGGGGTAGTGGGGTTACCTCCGTCACCCATCGCCACCGTTTTACTTCTTGCCATGTGGGAGAACTGCCACTTGTCCGTACCCTGGCTCGTTAGTCAGGTCTGGCTCTTTCCACGGTGTAATTTCCTCGTCCTTTGCTACCTTGGCAGGTCGATGCAAACGTGTCAACCCGTCCGCGTTACCGTGTTGCTCTGTCTTTCGATGGACGATATCGAAGTCCTATTCTTGCAGTCGCACCGCCCAACGGCCAATCATGCCCGTGTAGTTGGTGAGTTTCTTCAGTGCCAGCAGAGGCTCGTGATCCGTGACGAGGCGAAACTTCTATCCGTAGAGATACGGATGGAAGTGTTGGATTCCCCAAGCCTACCGCATAGCACTCGCCTTGAGGTGCGTAGTCGTTTCTACGTTCGTCTGGCATGGTTCGAGACGCATACTCGATGACGTGTTTGAGCCCATCGTTCCCCTTCTGTGCTAAAATAACGGAAATAGCTTCCGGTTGCCAGTCCGTGATGAGAATGAACTGCTTCGCGGGGTCCGGCTGAATTAAAATAGGGGTTGTTGCCAGAGTGTCTTTGAGGGTCGCAAAGGCCTGATGGCACTCCGCGTCCCAATTGAGTGGCTGGTCCTTCCGTAACAGATTCGTTAGTGGTCGTGCAATCGCAGCAAAGCCCTTGATGAAGCGCCAATAGTATGACGCCAGCCCCAATAAGGCTCGAACCTGCGTTAGTGACGTGGGAAACGGGGCTTCCTTCACCGCCACGACTTTTCTCGAATCTGGCCGCAGTCCTTCACGTGTCACGACGTAACCCAAGAACGAAATTTTCGAGAGGAAAAATTCGCTCTTCTCAAGCGCAATTTTGAACCCAGCGTCTCTTAATGCACCCTATGTCCATTCGATGTGTTGCGCGTGTCCGTGATAGGTTTCCGAATAGACCAGAATGTCATCCATGTAAACGATCACGCAGAAGTTAATCATTCCTTGCGTCAGCCGTGTCTTGTTGACGAAGTTCTGGAACGTCATGTTCATCGCTCACTGAAATATGGCAGGCGCATTGCAAATCCCCATTGGACATCGAACCCACTGCCACGTACCCTCAAACAGCACAAAGGCCGTTTTCGGCCGATCTTCTTTCCTTACCAGAATATGATGGAAGCCATGCCGAATATCAAACTTGCTAAAATATTTAGCGCATCCAATCGCATCCAACAGATCATCAATCCGGGGGAGGGGATACACATCTCTAATTGTGATTTCATTCAACTTGCGGTAATCAATGCAGATGCGAATCGTTTCGTTCTTCTTTGGTACTAACACTACGGGAAAGGACCATGGTCCGGTAGCAGGTTCAATCCAGCCGCTGGCTTCGAACTCCCGAGTTCGTTCGAGAACCTTTTTGCGTTCAATCAAGGAATAACGATAAGGTTTGCAATGAATCGGGGTGTGATTTCTTGTCTGAATTTCGTGTTGGATTACTAATGACAGCCCAATGTCAGTGTCTGACACGCTAATCGCTCCTTGATATTCCGTGAGAATATCTGCAATTACCCGGTGGATTGCATCCGGTACATATTGCGGAACGTGCAATTCATAAAGTTGATCCCAGATCCGAACGTCAATCTGTTTCGTATTTGCCTGTTTTGTCAAATCAGGCGGAGGCGCCGAGATGAATGAATGATCCGATCGCCAGAAGAACACCGTGGCCATCATCTGAGCATCTTCTTCTCGGATTGCCACGTGTTCTTCCGGGGTAATCCCGTCACAAACATCCTGCCATGACACTTCTTTAGTTGCGATCTTTATCCCCAGTCCGTCTGTTTCTGCTTCAAAACGCCCAAGGAGTTCCGGAGAGCTTGCTTCCGCCCCCAAACGTAACAATCTCACTTCTTTGGTCGAGGTTAGTAAGAACTTGGGTAGATCCGTAATATCACAGTAATGCTTCTTGTCGCTGTACCGGGCGAGGAGGGGGGTGGTTCCTTCGTACAGGGTTTGAGGGGGTTCCAAAGAATCGACCATCCTCGAAATCTGCACGAGGGGCTCGCCCAAGATCATTGTCTTGGTTCTTTGAATGTTTCGGCTGGTCAGTTGCATTGTTCTTGCTATCGTTTTGGGAGGCGGGTAGTAAGCGCGCTGCCGCGCTAATTTCAGGATCTCCAGATCATCTTCGTCACTGTTGTCCGCATCATTCGTTGATGACCTTTCGTCTGCGGATTCATCCCAGGAGATCATGCGGAGAGTCCCTGCCATCATCGGTGAAACCCGCGGAAACGTGTTAACAGTAGTGCGAAGGGTCAATCGCATGGGCACTGCGTAGGGTTTTCCGCCTGTATTTCGGAGAATGATTGAACGTCTCTCGAAATCCAGGTTCGCTCGTAACGCCACAAGAGTGGGAAGTCCGAAAAGAATGTCGTACGTATTAACATCTAGGACTACGACATCCCCATGTGCGTGCACTTTGCCCAATCGGAAAGCGACATTGGTCATTCTTCCCACGGTTTTAATCTTTTCTTCGTCAGCCGAAACGAGCTGATCTTTCTCAGAAAGCATGATCAGGTCGTTTTTCCTTTCTGCCCTTTCAACCACTCTTAGTGAAATAGCCAACACAGCTGCTCCCGAATCTATAATTGCGTTGTAAGGAATTCCCCAAATTTCTATGTCACATTCTGCAGATTTCCACAGAATTGGTTTAATCCGTAAGAAATGATCGTCTTTCTGAATTAAACTTACCCGTATTGGATCCGGGGTGCCTGTTGGGTTTTCTTATGGCGCGAGGCCTTTAGCTTTTGCATTCGGTGTTCGGGCAAGGGCGAATCGTTTTCTGTTTGCCTTGCAATGTTGTAGCATTCGCTCGTTGGCTTGCTCGGAGATCGAGAGTAGGTGACCAATCGGAAGGGGAATCCGATGATCCAAGGCTCGGACGATGTTTAATACGTCCATTTCCCCTGTGACGAAGGTGGGTCCCCCCGACTCCATTTCTCCTAGGGACGGTCGCCACTCCGCCACCTCTTTTGGTTCTGGCGCTGGTCTTATTGTTCCGATCATTCCCAGTCCTGGATATCCGAGCGATACGTACTGATCTAGCGGGATTAGCTCGGCGGYTTCTTCCGTGGTGGCCAGGGCACTTCCTCCACCCTCTACTTCTTCCATCAAAGCTCCGACTCGTCCAGGTCCGTTGGCGATGGGAGCCGCAGCCATAGGCGCGACTCCGATCCGCTGTTGTGGGGGTCGGTGAGGGCAGTTTCGGGCCAATTGCCCTGGCTGATGGCAGGCATAACAAATATTTAGATTATTGGCGGCTCCTCCGAGCGCAGGTGCGGGGGTTACCCCTTGTTGTATCGGAGGAGCACGTACCGCAATGGGTCGCATGTTCCTCATCATGGCTTCCAGCCGAGCATTGTGCTCTCGCTTCTCCTTCTTACTTTCCTGAATCAAACTAATCAAGGTTTTGGTTAGTTCGAAAATGGCCGCTGATTCGTTCGTTCATGCGGGAGCCTCAACTAACGGCAGGGGTAATGCCCTTGCGGGTGGAGGCATTATAGGAGCGGATGTGCTTGGGACTTCGCTTAGGGCCACTCACTTGGGGCCTATCTGTTCCATATAGGTAACAGGTCCTGATACAAACCCCATGTTTTCAAACTTGTTCTGCAGAGCAGCTAACTCAGCTCTCGCTCATGCGAGCTCGGTCGAATCTCCTTCTCTAGGATAATCTTCCCCTTCCAGGAAGTTCGCTGCGAACTTCCGTTCCATTTCTTCCGCGGCAGCCATGATTTGCTGTAGCGTGTGAGTGATGGGGGAAAATTGCTTTCGTAACTTAGTCCTTATTGTTCGGCTGTGAAGCCCATCAATGAACATGTCTCTTCCTACTTGTTCACCTCGCTCAGTTTTTACGAACATTCGATAGAACCGGTTCCGATATTCTGCGACGGATTCGAGAGGTTTTTGCACTCGGTCCTTGATCATATACAGTACTTGCTCGGGGTGAACGTAGTCAAATCGATTCATGAAATCCCGCTCAAAGGTCGGGAGATCAACCCATACATAGGTGCTAAACCAATGATGAGCGTCTCCCCCCAATCGGGCGGGAATATTGATCTGAGCTTCATGGTCAGTATACTGTTGGGCTCTAAGTGTGGCCAGCCATGCTCCTGCGAGATGGTGTGCGGGATCGAAGAGATAAAGATCTGGTGGCGTCATGGGAGCTCGTGCACGTGGGGTTGGTTGATTTGGGGGATTAGCATTCTGTTGTGGGACCGGGTTTGGCACATTGGCAGCCATATTGGTTGCTCGTCGGTTAGCCGATCTGCTTCGGGTGACGATAGGGTCGCGTCTATACGCGTTCCGAGGGCGAGGTCGCCCACGGTTAGCCAGATCGCCAATTTAACGTATTATCAATCCTAAGACCCTAGCCACATGTCGTGCTTCGATACCAACCTCACGCCCGGCGCGACTTCCTGATCGGAGTGGAGTGTGGGTCTGGAAGTGCGAAAAGGGGTGTGCCAAGGATTTTTGGGGAAAGTGGGGGATTCTTAAGGATATAAATGTAATTAGGCGGATGAGGGATGCGTGCACGAGGAGCTCACGGTCCAATGGGGCCTGGGCAGTGAGGGTGGCGGTTGACGGGAAAGTTCCTTCGCGGCGGAGGCGGTCTCGAAAAGTTAGGCCGTCGGGGTCCGCCACGCGGCGTGGGCCTCCGCGTCTTTGGATGGGGCCTTCAGAGTTCCGGAGTTCTCTGTTCGCTGTTACGGCGGCAATTTGCGCAAAACGTACTGGGCCAATAGGGGGTTATGGCCGGCCACGGAACGACGCTGAGTTGATGGTAGGGAAGAAGAAGGTGGAAAGGAGGGAAACTGGTGGTGATCTCAACAAATCCCGGGTGGGTGAAGTAGTAGGTACAGTCGGGGGAAGGGAAATCAGAGCACCGCGGGTCGCTAGTGGTGGCACAGTGGAATTCCCGCAGACATAATCGATTCTCCGTGTGACAGGGGTATCGTGTCCTTATGAGCTCGTTTATTATAGGGGTGAAATAGTCCGGGTCATAGGATGAGTCTGAGCCCCAAGATCGCGTCATGGTGTCATCGTAGGTGGGATGGCGCGGGTCGGGATCTCGTCACCGCGAGTCCCGTCTGGGCGGGAGAATCGCCGCACAGGAATGTATGTAAGGGCACGACTTGGATCACGTTTACACGTGTTCTCGCGTGGCGTTTACGGGGTCAGATTTCGAGTCACTGATCATGCAAGATGCAACCATATCACACAACCTCATCGTGAGGTAAGCAAAAACGAGACTAAAATCACGACCAGAGCCTAATTCCTATCCATCTATATCTGATGCAGACAAAAGTTCGACACAAAAAGTAAGACAGAGATTCGCAAGCAAAACATCCATACATTCAGCAATCATATACATAGTGTCACTGGGACAGTGAGCAAAATTAGAGTCCAGATTCCCGAAGGGCCGAAATGGAAATAAGAACGGGCAAGCCGCCCTGAGCCGCAATCAAAATGTATATACACAGGGGCAGAGGGGGAAGAGACAAAGAAACAGCAAGACCACATCCATACCGATCTCGATTTCCCGCAATTGGCATAATCTTCCCAACTTAGGACCCCTCGTTGCAACCGCACAGAAACTCGCGCGTTACAGAAAGTGGTTCGTCACATAGGGGGATCATGGACAAGCCCGGAGCGGGTGTTAAACCCCTACCCAACCCTAGTTACTGACCCCTATTTGAACGCCCCACAAGCCCAGATTGCGTCTATGGCGAACCTAGTAAGGAGTGGATACCCCCCCCCTGGCACTGTAAACTGTATGTGTGCCCATAGGCTATATGTACTCCCATAGGCTGTGTTATCGGCCGGAACGGGGGGGAGTCCTATCCTGTGGAGGTAGCATCTTGGAGGGAAGTGCTGCGTCTGTGGAGGTTAGGGCAGTCATTGAAGGTTGCTCTATTCTAGGGCCGGGGTTGACAGAACACGTATAACCCTCAGTGGAGGCAAATAGTGGCAGGTGGTTTGCCTACTTCCACGGCAAGAGAGGATGGTTTCCCTTCCCTTTTCCTTTTTCCGCGAAGGGAGTGGGTGATGGTCAGGTAGCTCCGACATTTTTCCCGTTGTATGAGTTTTTTTAACTTTTTAGCACGTATCTTCTGTAGAATTTCTATAGAATTTCCTGATTGTTTGTAAGACTTTCAAATTTCAGTAGTTGTTCATGAATATCACTGTTGTTCTAAGCTAAAGTCGGGTAATGATCCCGGTGTCTCAAATTGCGAAGTATATTTTCATAAGGGACCATGGGCTCGGTCCCCAGCACGTGCTGCTCCCCACAAATGGATTGGAGCACTGTTCCCATATTAAAAAAAAAAAAAAATGTTTGAGGTTGGTGGGGTCCCAGCTATCTCGAAGGCAGATTGGGAGACGGGGGTGGAGTTGCAGTTTGCCCTCGCAGGGAAGGGGCCTTGGTCATAAAGAATGGGTTGCTTCCCGTGCTCTGGTACAAATTTGTTCTATGGCCCCTCAGAAAGGCAGCGCTCAGGTCAGTAAAACAGCAAGTGGCAGCCTTCCTGTGGCGGGGGGACAGCGAAAGCCCACACACCATCAGCCAGGTAGCATCGGAGTCAATGACCCAGCCCATGCCAGAGGAGGGCTGGGTATTATCGATCCCCTCACATGGATCCAAGCACTTAGCTTGCCAAGGATCCATAACCTCATTTTTTTTATTTTATTTTTTTATTTTTTTTAACCTCATTTTGTTCCCTCCCCTTGGCTCTGGTGCTAGCACAGATCGCAGCCTTAGCCCGAGAAGCCCCCTCTGAGATTGACCCCCTCACCTGGCTGGAAGATGGCTATTAGAAGATACCCTGGAAATATGGGAATAAGGACGCCACTGAAGAGTTGTGGCCTTATCCCCAAAACATGGAGGAGACTTTCAATCCCCGACAGGCCGTCTCCCGACCAGTGGGAGAAGTTAGTTGGGCAGCCCCCGCTCGGCAGTCGATGGATCACGGACTCACATAGTCAGGTCACTCAGGGCAGATGCAGCACAACTCCCCGTGGAGAGGATGGGCCAAGCATGAGGTGCTGCGGGTGGGGGACTTATGGGACAGGGAGGCCAGAGAATGGCAAAGCCCGGACCTCATGCCGAGAAAGTTGTGGCACCATCACCAAACAAGACTAGCAGTGGGGCAGTTCCTTAGTATGGGATGTTGGGGATGTAGGGGCTGTCAGGAGGTCTGCACCTTACCGCGGGGCCGGAACGGGCTCCAGGGATATACAAGGAATCAGAGGATCCCCAGCTCTCTCTGCCATCAAAACAATAGAAAGTGTAGTAATACAACATAAGGATAAGAGATTCAGTCCATGACTCATGACTCGGGATTGTGACTCCCTAGTAACCTCACGCCCGGCGTGACTTCCTGATCAGAGTGTGAGTGGGTCTGGAAGTGCGAAAAGGGGTGTGCCAAGGATTTTAGGAAAGTGGGGGTGGAGTCCCAGGTCGGAACTGAGATCTCCTGTGGCAAGTTTCAGGTATAGGAATGCAAGAGGATACGCACAGGTCGAAGTTTGTTTCTATGCTTCTGAGCGTGGGGCTACCACCTCTGTTGGCTTCGCCGTCTGGGTCGCGCTCGTATTTGGTGCACGGTTAAGACACTATGACTATCGCACTGTCTGACCACTTGTTGGCGTCGTGCGTCACTGGTCTCAGAATCCGACGCGGCTGGCCTCAGCCGAAGGCTGTGCGCCCGTCGTTCGTCCTCCGAGCGAGTTCGCCGGATGAAACCGGAGGCTCGGTACTCGTGGTCTTGCAAGCACTCCGAGCACGGGGGTTGGGGCCAATACGGAGCGATTGCGCACCAGGGGATGATGGTCAGTGAATGGAAGGGTGGTATGCGGTGGTAGGGAGCGAAGTCAGTTTCTAGAATAATTACTACCAGTTCCACGACAAGGCTACACATGTACGAGCTGGGGAATTCCGGGTGGTGAGGAATGCGCTCTCCAGCTCGGTCGATGTCCCACTCACAGATACGCTCGTTTCCCACCGGGTATGGAAACTCAGGAAGTTCTCCCCTCGAACGTGCAGACAGACACACGTGCTCCCAATGCTCCCGAAATTTTGGATCCCTCAGACACTCGTGATCAGTAATACAAAAAGGCAATTCAATATTCATGTTGTGGGGTGGGGCGGAAACTCAGTCATTCAAGAAGTTGGGTCGGGCGCAGGCACTTCAGACAGTGCCAGACACGTGTGTAGGCCACGTTTTCCTAATCGGGCTTACACGTGCGTGCACAGGGCCTACCCTTCGGTCCGGTGGAGAAGACCAATGACCCGCATCTCGTACGAGCTGGCCAGTTACCCGAGGGTGGATAGTCTTATCATGAGACAAACATCTGATCGTCTAGCATGCTTTCCTAACTTCAGCAGACAAATACCCATCGTCCGAATGTCCAGTTTTATGCATACAAAAAGAAGGTGACAATCATTCATGCATTAATCAGTAGAGACAAACACAGAAAAGATCTGGAATGTCGTTTAAAGAAAGCAAAAGCGACCTGCGCCAGATGCTAAAATTGCTCAAAAGGGATAGAACCTCCTATAGTGAGGCAGTCATCTAATAGTCTACCATGCCCGATCCTATTCATACATAGACAAAACCACGCCTATCATCCATGCAAATCACGCAAGGTCCACTCCTCGGGGATCAATCAATTAAATCCATCAATCCAAGAGGACAGAGAAGGGAAGGGAAAGAGGACAATCGTTCATCAACACCCGAGGAGAGCAAATGAAAACACACATGTCAACATAAAAGAGCAAATGACAACTCCGAATGTCGATCCAAAAGGAAAAAGAGGGGTAACTCACGCTGAATACCAAAATTGCTTAGAAGGAAAGGAGAAGAATCAAAATGGCTTAGAGGGATAGAAGAAGAAGCTCATCACACACTTTTCGTCTCTCTCTCTCTCTCTCTCTCTCTCTCTCTCTCTCTCTCTCTCTCTCTCTCTCTCTCTCTCTCTCTCTCTCTCTCTCTCTCTC